CTACTACTAGTTACTACTGTTATTACTGCTGTCCTGCAACTTCTACTAATACCGCTACAGCCCTACTACAGTTACTGTCCTACTACTCCTACTGTTACTACTACTGCTACCGTCCTTCTACTGCCCTACTACTACTGTCCTGTGACTGTTACTGTAACTGTCCTACTCCTACTGTTACTACTACTGCTGTCCTGCAACTTCTACTAATACTGCTACTGTTCCTACTACTGTTCTACTACTGCTAATGCTCTACAACCTCTGCTGCTACTGTTGCTAATACTACGGGTAGTAGTAACCTGCTGAAGTTGATTAGGATGTCAGAAGGGAGAAAGGAGAGGTTGAACAGAGTTTTGTTTTCCTGGAAAAAAATCCTCCTTGAAAATGACATTTCAGGCTCGAGGGGCTGAGGGTAGAAACAAGGTAAATAAAGGGAAGTAAGAAAATAAAAGACGAAATGGGTCAGGTGAGGACGTGTTTCTCAGCAGGTGCAGGATGAGGAAACAGAGTTATTGAGAAGGGTGAACATTTAAAGCATTCTGATGAAACTGAAAGAGGAGGACCCGTGACCCTGTGACTTGATCGCGCTCCTTGTGTAACATGAACCTAGCCTTATTCTATTCCAGAATAGTCATGCCTCTAAGAGTTCATTTAAAAAAAATAGATTCTGAGAAATTCCTACATACTGTCCATCAAGAGGAACCTTCCTACCCCTCTTCACATGAAGACAGGTGTGGAAGAGAATGTCCCGCCTCCTCTAGATGTGTTCCATATTGACTGACACTACAAGTGAGGACTGACCTCAGAACAGGTCGTCCGTCGTGTCTGGTTTCTTTTGTCCCGCCTTAGATTTCACCAGCAAAGTCTCTGGCACAACTGTCTGCGCCCTTCCCCTCTTCGCACGCAGAGTTCCATGACGGATCATTTTCACTCGGTGATTCTGAAGAGCCTCCCCTCCCGAAATATCTGATACCTTCAACCCAGTTAGTCTGCATTCCCAGGTATCTGGCTGAGAGCAACACCCTCAGATTCCAGCCGTGGAGCACTGAGTACTCCACAGGCTGGAGATGCCTTTATTTGCAGCTCACAGTCCTGAATGAATATAGACCTGGAGGTCATGCCTTAATCACGACCTGCTCGTTATCATTTCTGGTAAAACCAGATGAACAAGAAACAACATTTTCATTTGAAAGAATCTGCATTGATTTCATCCCTACTGCTTTTGCTAATAAAATATAATATCCTCAATATTGAAAGCTTTATTTTGTTTGCCTTGTGATTTCCCTTTGGAAATTTTTTGCCTTGCTTTGTGGTACGAGATCGTGCTGGTCTTATAAATACAGTTGTGCTTCCTTGCACAGCGCCATAGGATCCTTCATGGCACTCTGCACAGAGGTGTTTGAGATCAAATAAGCAGAATAACCGATTCCCGCTAATCTCCGTCCAAAGAACCCAGGCTACAAGCACAGAGACAGAGAGACAAGAGAAAATGAAAGAGAAAGTCTTCCTTCCTTATATGCACAAAGTACTACTTTTCAAGAAGCACATAATGTAAGAAAAATCTCCACGGTACATTACAGTCATCCACACAACTAATGCATTGCGACTATACACTCTCTCATACTAACCCAGGCAATTCACACAGATAATGAAGCACTAAATTATACATAGACTGAGCCTCACGCGCTCAGATGGACTCTCGCACAATGGACTCACACACAGAGCACATGCACCGAGGATCCCCTACTTAAAGCACCAAGCCACGTTACAGCCGGTTTGTTAATCCGCGATGGCTGCTACACTGTGGATCTTTTGCAGCAGAGCCAGCGATCCTCTAACCCAATTTAATACCCGGCATTGTTGCATAACCGCCCATTGTGGGGCTAAATGCAGAAGCAGCATTAGTGCCCCTGCTCTCTGGAAAGCAGCTTAAATGGAAAAAAATGTCTCCACATCTGTCTTTGCAGTAAAGTAAGACACTGAAACTTTGAGCAAAACTGCCCCATGTAATTGTTTCTTCCACTATCTAAATCTAGACTAAATCTCAGGAAACCACACCCAGCCTCTGAGTGAAATGTCTACCTGAACGCACATGGGCTGTGCACAAGAAGCACAAGAACTAAGGGGCTGTATTTTCTGACAGGTCTGTTTTTTGGAACAGCTACAAGGAGCTGCTAACTTACAGGTAAGAAATGACAATCGGACACCAATGAATAAGCCAGTCCAGTGTGGTTATGGCAGGCATTTTAATCAGATCAAAAACGTGCAAGAACAACAAGTCTAATACACCCAGTCCTCAGTAACAACAGATAGGTGGCTAGTGTGAAAGAAGGAGCACGATTTGCAATCACTTGGGTAGACCCAGTGTTACAGGGTGTGTAGCGCATTTTAGTAATAATAATAATAATTGCTTACGCTTATATAGCACTTTTCTGGACACTCCACTCAAAGCGCTTTACAGGTAATGGGGACTCCCCTCCACCACCACCAGTGT